TACCCATAGCACATGTCTAGTTATTGTTTTTCTGAGGACAATGTACATAATTCCTTTGTGCCGTACCTATATAAGATTAAACGTTTGTTTTGGTGGGATTCTGACATCATTATGATGTCATGGTGATTGAAAGGGATTGTTCTATTGGTGGGGGGATTTATTAAAATAGGTGTTAGATTTTGCTTTACATTTAGCACATATGCTTATGGAAGCAGTCCTGCTTGGCTCTGAAGCATGGTGCAGTTTTATTAACTTTGTGCATGAATTAGGGTGTACAACACAAGTGTATTAACATATATGCATTACAGAGAGTTGGAGTGTAAGGTTTGTTGTTTACAATATTGATATGCATTAAGGAAAGATAGATAAAACTACCGGGCTGCACCCCAAAAATGCATGTGCAATGTTTTTAACAGGGTGCACTAACATGCATGCTTTGGTGTGAATCCAGCCTGTGAAATGCAGAGTAACTTAGTTCTTTTAAGTGTAACTGCAGCTTTGCAATTCTCCCTCCCCCAAGGCCTGTCATGATATTGGCTGTGGAGCTTTGTCAGCAATGAACAGCTGCTTGTCAAAAGCTGCTTGAGAAAGCATGCATTCTCAATCCTTATGGCAAGCTCTGTGCTGATGAGACTACACAGAAGATATATTACTGGGTCAGTGAGTATAAAGCGGGCCATACACTTGTAGTTTTTTGTCTTTCATTTACTCCATCCATGCTGTTTAACGTGGATGGAGGAAATGAGCGACAAAAACTACATGTGCAGACGGGGGCTCGGTTTTGCTCAACCTGGTTCGAGTTTTCCTCCTCTCCGGAATATTTGAGTCTCCTGGAGTGAGGCCTTTTCTTTCTCTTCTCTCCTTTTTTTCTGGCCCTGCTCTTTCTTTTCCCCTCTTGCTCTCCCTCTCCTTTTCCCCCATCTTCTCCTCTCCCTCCCCCCTTTGATCCTTGTCTACCGCCGTTTGCAGCCACGCCGTTTTATAGAAATAAAATTGAGACTGAACACTTAAAACATATCAAGACCTTATTGTTTGTATTGGCTAGCAGTGGGGCTGTCCACCAACGATGGATTAATATACACTCTTCTCTTTGACGGAGAGTTGACTACTGGATGTGTGAATGTTACCTGTCTTGAGTCCCCATGGGTGGTGGTCCTGGCTGCTGCCAAGTTGTTGGTTACTTGTAACAATTTATCAATATGTCTTCATATATCTGGTTGTATATCCTGTACGCTACTCAATAAATAATTTATTTTAAAAAACTACATGTGCATTGCCAGCTTTATACTCACTGACCAAGCAATCTTACCTGCATCATCTTGGCTGCAGTCACCATTCAGCTGACAGTTTCTTGCTCAGCTCCTTCAACAAAAGTTGATTGAAAAATCAACTTTTGTCGTATGGAGTGGCGCCAACAGGGCCACCCACAGATTGTTTGAATTTTGCCCTGCTGACTGAAATTCAGTGTATGGCCAGCTTAAGACAGGTAATGGGGGCTGACCAAATATCTGTAACTGTACTAAATGTGCAATTACACTTTAAACAGAATAAAATAATATTTTCTACCTCTGTTAGACGTCTTCTTGAAAGTAAAATACATAAGTGGTAGATATTTTTTTACTGGTTTTTCTATTAAAAAAGCTCAAGGAAAACAAATACGGGCATCAAGCCTGTGAGACTGGCTGTATTCTAACTACTTCTGCAAACCCATCACCAAACCAGCATGTCAAGTGCATGGTATCAAGGCTAAAATAAAACAAGCGATCCAGACAACGATTTCTTCTGTAAACTGAGCGAGGGTCAGCTGATAGAACAGTGCTGATTGCACACTTTGCTTCTTCAAATGACTTAAAGTAACGGAAACATGGCCCCCCTGAGAAAACACAAGCAAGTAAATGATGGTTATTCATTTCAAGCATCATGCTTGCAGGGCCAATGCTGTTAACATGTTTACTACATGCATTACATCACACAGAAACCGGTGGAGTAGTACAGCTCCACTGCTCTGGTACTATCTCAGCATGGCAAATTTCTCATGTATCAAATTAATGTAGGTTAAATCAAACTACTCTAAAATTAAATTGCAAACATTAAGATATAGTTCTAGAGAGTAGTAAGGGGAGCGTTTGAAAAAAAATTAGATTTTTGGCTTACCAGTAACTCCGTTTCGTGGAGTACAGTACAGGCAATTAAGAGATGGCTGGGCAATATGCAGCTATCATCAGGTGACTGTACACTGACCAGTGCTGTGCGGACCCTCATATAACCTCTCCCAAGAATCATCAGTTTTTTAATTAGTGATAGAGGACATAAAGGGAATGGCCCTGTGTGATGTACTGTACGCCGAGAAACGGATTTGACTGGTAAGTAAAAAAATCCTGTGTTCTTAATCGTACAGTACAGGACACAGGCAGACTCACAGAAGACTTGTATGTCCGAAAGCGAGAGAGCAGAGGGGTGGGCAAAACAGCACAAAAATGCCATCAGGCCCACATAACAGAAGAAGGGCAAACAAACTCAGATAGCAGCCTATAGCACTTTACAACCAAAGCTAGCATCAGCAGGAACCCGAATACCCACCTGGTCGAACGTAGTGAACAGAAAACCAAGTGGTGGCCTTACAAATCTGCAGAGAAGATGCCTAGATGCTCAGAACTAGCAGAGTGTGCCTTCACAAGAAAGGGCAGAGCTTTATTTTTAGCAGAATAGGTATGCACAATGATCTGTCTAATCCATCGACAAAAGGTGGAAGGAAAGGCAGTTAGTCCCCTACGAGGTCCTTCAGGAAGGAAAAAGAGACAATCAGATCGTCGGAATGAAGCTGAGATAAACTCAGACGGCTCGAACCACATCCAGACAGTAGAGGGAAACTTCCCTAGGATGTTTTGGAGCAGGACAAATGGAAGGGAGGATGATGTCATGATTACCATAAAACGAGGATACCACTGCCCAGTTTGTTGTTGAGTTTGGTGGCCAGGAGATCCACTTCTGGCATCCTCCAGGGCAGCAAAGTTCCTGAAACACTTTGGAGTGAAGAAATCTTTCCCCAACTGCCTGCCCACTGTCCACTCCTACAATGTGTATAGCAGTCAGAGCCAGAACGTGAAGTTCTGCCCAGGTCATGATCACCTCTACTTCTCTTTGAGCTGCGCCACTTCTGGTACCTCCTTGAGGGTGGATGTATGCCACAGCCATGGCATTGTCAGAATGTACCCTTGTTGGTCGCCCTTGCAGGTACCACATCCAGTGCTGCAGGGAGAGTTGAATCCCTCTCAGCTGCAGAACATTGATTGATTGCCTGAATTGCCTCGCCGACCAGGTCCCTTCCCAGCTGAACAGGCATACATCATCAGTACAATCCTCTGCAGTGGAAGGACGTTTTTTCCTGTCTCCAATGTCAGGTTGCAGATCCATCAAGCCAGCGAGATCTTTGCTTTGAGTGAAAAACGCATGGGACGATCCAGAGAGTGAGCCTGTTTGTTCCATGCAGCTAGAATGCTCCGTTGCAGCGATCTGGGGTGGAACTGAGCATATCGTACCACCTTAACCTCTTGCCGTCCGCCCGTTAAGAAAAAACGGACGGACGGCTGACTCCTATCTGCGGGTTGCCGTCGCCAGACGGCATTTTTTTCCTGCTCGCGCGCGCCCCCTAGCGCGCACATGGGCAGGAAAGACCCGCTTGTTACTACAGCCGTTAACGGCTGTTTCACATACAACATACAACTCTATAGCCGCCGATCGCGGGTGCCGCCATCTCCCCCCTCCTGACCCCTCACCTTTCATCCCGTGATCCGCTGCCCCATCTGCGGCCCGGGACCGGCTCGGGATGGCGTCAGGAGGAGGAGGGAGGGAGATCAGCTCCTTGCTGTTCTCCCTCCGTAGTGTGAATGCAGAAGTGATGTGTATTACATCACTTCCGCATTCACCTGTCAGTCATCTGGCTCCTATGCCAGATAGAAGAAGCTGATGAAGCAAATCTGTGCTTCATCAGCTTCTTTTGGGGTCTCCAGGTGACATTAGGGGTCTAGAGACCCCTAATGTCTCCATAAAGAGGACCTGTCAGTGTACCTGTGCTATTATATAGGGGGATGGTATCCCCCTATATAATAGCAATAACAATAAGTGTAAAAAAAAAATCTATATAAATAAAAAAAGTTAAAAAAAATAAAAGTCACAAACAAAAAAAGTTTAAAAAAATAACAGGTCACAAATAAAAAAAAGTAAACCACCCCCCCAAATGTTTAAGTCCCCCCACCTTCGTTTACGCACATTTAAACGTAAATATGCGTCGCATGCGCCAGCACGCGAAAATGACAATTGCGCTACACATGTTACATATCGCCGCGAACGTCGCAGTGAAAGCAATCATTTTAGGGCCATCAATCACTGATAACACTAAACTGATGAGCGGTAAAAGCTTTTAATGCGTCGCCTATGGCCAATTTTGGGTAATTTAGTTTTTTTGAGGTTTCGCTGGCGTGCGCAATTTTAAGTCTTGACATGTTTGGTGTCTCTTTACCCGACTAGACCCCGCCTTTTATATTTTACCAAAAAATTGGGAAATTATAAATGTTTTAGAATTTAATATAGGGGAAACAGTTTTTTGTTTTTTTTAATCTGTAATTTTTCCTTAATATATAAAAAAATAAAAACCCCAGTGGTGAATAAATACCACCAAAAGAAAGCTCTATCTGTCCCCAAAAAAGGGTATAAAATTCATTTCAGTACAGCGCTGCATGAAGGATTAAATGTCAGTCAAAGTACCGCAGCGCTGAATACTGAAAAATGGCCTGGATGGGAAGGGGGTTTAACACCGCGGATGTCAACTGGTTAAAGGAGGCCACCTTTAGTCCTTTGCAGACTCTTATTGGTCCAGAAAATATTCAGGTATTCTAGACATTGAGGTTAAGAACCCACCCGAAACACTGCCGCATTTGAATTGTTCTGTGGATATCTGACCTCAGAGGCTGTTTGGACCAGGCCTTCAGCAAGAGATCCCCCACATATCCCTCAATATGGACACCCTGAGAGTGCAAAAACAGGGGCTTACACCTTAGTGAATACCACTGGAGCAGAGGATAGGCCAAAAGAATAGCTTTTTTTTTTCTTACCTCTATGGAAATTCAATGCACTGCGAGAAAATGATACCTGCATCATTTTATCACAACGGACAGCAAAACACTTTTTGCCTTGTCTTTGCATTGGGCAACGCTGTCCCATGCAGCCAACAGGGCTGGAGTGAACCAGCTCTCAGGGAGAGATCTCTTCACTTGGCGTCCTGGGTCATTCCATCACAATGTAGTCCAGCTCACTAAGTGATGCTATAACATACAGAAATGGTCCAGAATTTTGCAGGTGAATAGGTACATAGTTGGGAACTGTGGCACGGAGATATTGTCTAAGAGTATGCCACAAAATATCACGATTACAATAAATTGTACAACTATTCAAATGAAGCATGCAAGACATATATCTTACCAGAGTCACATGTTGCCTCAAACTGCTTCAATTCCATTTCTGCATGTTGTGTAAACCTGACTTTTAACTTAGGGACAGGTGATTCTGTCACCCAGGTCGCAACAAAACTGTCACAAGTCCTGGCTCTGTCTTCATTATCCTTTATACCTGTGTTCACTTGATGTGTAAGCTCAGTCCTTTTATCCAGTACACTTAAATCCTTTCCTATTTGCCTGGAAGAATATTCCTGCAATGAACATGAATCTTCCACCGGTAGAGTTGTTCCGACAATAGTCTCTGAAGCCACATTCTCTTTATGGTCATTTAATATTTCATCATGACTGCTAGATATCTCAGCTTTATCTTCCATTTTATTCTCTACACCATGGCAGATTATATTGAATTCTTTAGGTGAGGTCTCTTGCTGGTGCTCAGAAGAATCATCACTGCCTTCATGTTTCTTTTTGTTTTCTTCTGGCTCCTCAACAAAAGAATGGGTTGCTCTCGGTGAATCATACTCTGAAATATATGGCTTGATATCAATAACTGGAGTTCCTTGTATCATGTCAATTCCAGACAGATACAGTGTTCCACCTGTAATAAACAAATAAGTACATTATAAAATTCCAGCATGCTGAAATAAAATCTTCCCACTTTTAAGAAAGTCTTCACTTAAAGTGTTTCTAAACTCAAGAAAATAATGTGTAATCTATTAGGTGCTGACACTGGGCATTTTCACAAGTACTAATACTTGTGAAAATGCCCTGATAATAAGTGCCGATACCAGCTCTTTACATTTTTAAACACGAGTGGCTGTCTGAGGTCCTGGGCTTGCTGGGGATCTTGCGGCAGCTCTTTCACAGCACCGGTCCAGCTGCACATTTCCTCCTCTTCCTTCCCTGCCCTGGTGACACTGTACAGCCCTGATGAGACCCATACGCAGCCTTGGTGAGACCCATTTGCAGCCCTGGTGGGACCCAAACAACCCACGTGTAATGATGTGCTACCCGGGTTCCTGATACCGGAAGTATCGGGCTAGGCATCGGAGCATTTGTAGGAGTACTTGCCCAAATACTCTGCATCGGCACCAATACTAGTATCGGTATCAGTGCATCCCTAAATAAAATGTAACCCTATATTATAGCAATTTAATAGAAAAGCATTGCTTATTTGCCTGATAACACTACATACAGAAGATCTCAATATGACTGACTGCTCTCCGAGTCATATTAATAAAAAAATCTGAATTATTATGAGGCTCTACACATCTCAATCCTGATCTAGTGATATATCTGTTTAATAAAACAAGTTGTAATTAACCTACTGGCTTAAAATATATCACTGATTCTGCAATCAAAGTCATTTGTAGGCTATTTTGTTGTTGCAAAGGTAGATAACGAAATCACAGAAAAGATGACAGAATCACAGAAAAGATGATAGCTGCTAGTTATGTGAATAAAGATGCATATAACTCCCCAAATTGAGCCTACTTTTTGATATTCTAGTCATTGAAATTATTTACAGTTATATACATAACCGTAAATAGATCTCTGAGACAGAAGCTTTGTTTACAAAATATGAATGTCTGTGTCTCCCAAATGATTTATATTTAAAAAAACAAGTAGTTAAAACAATTAAAGTTAATCTGTAGGAAAACTGCTAAATACATAGTTATAATACACATATATGAACTGTCTCATATGCCAGTAGATTTGTAATACTGTTAAAGACCCATTCATACTTGCGCAGTAAGGCAAAGAACATGCTCATTGTTAATGGCACCCCAGTACATTGTACAGTTACGCACTGCAGGGCACCACAACGCAGTTACCTTTTGTTGTGTTGTGCACCCTCATAAAAGGGTCATGTACAATTTTTCATCCATTATGGTGCATTGGCAGCCCATTTTTACAGAAGGGCTGCCTTAACACAACGCAGGTTAACACATGTTCCCTGTAAACACATATGAACTGACTAGCTCTTAGATAGTCCATGGTCCCATCGCACTCCTGACCGCGTGAATCCCTTCAAGAATTGGGTGCTGCGGTAGTCAACGGGTGGCAGCCGTAACAATCGTGAGCTAAAGCAGAGACACCGGCACTCCAAATTTGCAAAATACGTCTATTTATTGACGTGCATCGTGGTAAAAAACAATGAACGTTTCGGGGTCACAAAGGATCCCCTTCATCAGGTAAAACAAACGTTCGTTGTTTTTTACCACGATGCACGTCAATAAATAGACGTATTTTGCAAATTTGGAGTGCCGGTATCTTTGCTTTAGCTGACTAGCTCTTAGGCGCCATTTACACAAGGCTTTAGGCTGCGGCTGGGGATTCCTGTGGCAACAACCTGCAGATTCTTGTGGCAGGAATCCAAAGTGTGTCCACACAGGTCTGGTCACTGAGCCCGTTTAAGTGAATAACAGGGTGGCAGCGGCCACATCTGTCAGTGGCTGTCTGCAAGTAATCATACACGGAATGATTACCCATGGTTCAGGATCAATGATTGTCCCTGGATGCAATCTGTGGCCCAGCAGCCACATCTGTGTGGGCAAACCTGGGAATCCAGCCGCATTCCGAAGTAGGGCTGCGTACAAAGCTCCCGGCCGATCTCGACTTACCTTGAATGACGGTGTTGTTGGCGGGCAGCGGCATTGTTCGTTTTCGGCAGGCAGCGGCAAGTCAGGAAGCTCATTGGGAGAGGGCCAGACGCATGTCCTCAGCATGGGCGTGGCGTAAGCGGCGTCGCGTGAGCGGGTATACCAGCGTAGGCGCGAGTGGCTTAACTGACAAGGGCGTGGCGTAAGCGGCGGGCGTGAGCGGCGGGCGGGAAATTTGAATTTTAGCCGACGAATCGATGATGGAAAACGTTGACAACGTTTTCCATCGTCGATTTTAATCGACTTAATCGAATAATTGTTGCAGCTCTATTCCGAAGTAATCCCCAGCCGCAGCATGTGTATGTAGTCTTAGTGTGTCCCTCCCCCCTTCAAGTCTGAATGATGCTGATAATGGGATGACAGAATATGATATCAAGGCACATTCAGGTACTTATACAGGTAGAAAGCAAAATACATTTGGGTTAGCTATAGAAATATGTTAAAGGGAAACTACAGCTTTTATGTATTTTTATATATGTGAAAATAAACACCCTAATGCTACTAAATGAATAATTATATGTTAATAAGGGGTGGTAAGGTAGATTTTGCTTTCAGGGTATGTAGATTTCAGAAGCCATGGCTTGGCAGAATCCTTCGGTCATCTCCTATAGCTATAAGAACTTGGCATGCACTGATACCGTTTTTTCGGTATTGAGTACGAATACCGGTACCGGTGCTGTGTGCCCAGTTTATCAGGAAGCCAGGCGGCTGATCATTCTTGTTGAGGCTGCCTGGCTTCCTGACCAATCAGGAAGATGGGTGGCAGGTCAAAACCCGCTGCCGGACTTCTGATTGGAAAGGAAGCCGTCTCCCAGCTCTCTCGGCACTGCCGGCCAGAGGGAGATCTCCCTCTGACTGGAAGCTCCGGTATCAGAGGCAAGTATCGGAGTACTCGCCCAAATACTCAGTATTGGCACAGATACTAGTATCGATATATTCCTAATAATAACAGAGGTTTACTTTATATTGGGTAGACATCCCACTCAAAGTTATGTAATTCAAGCTCTATTGTAAGCTTAGGGTTTCTGTAAGCTCTAACACTATGACATGAAAAGTTATAAAGCACAGGGTGCCTACTGCAACTGTGCCCCTAACTACACCCCTCATAAAGTGTATATGATTGCATGCTCAGCCACCTATCATCTATACCAACCTAATTTTCCACTAAATTTGTTTCTGTTTTTCTGTGTCCCTGTATTTGTCACATGCGGCTCTGATGATAATGGCCGATCATTGTTACCGGCATCCCTGTTCCTATATTTATGACCTCTAGCCACCTGTCCTTTTAATTTGCAGAGCTATCTTTAATTCTACATGCAATACAGTTTAAGAAAAGGTGTATTTGGAGTATGGTTTGGGGTGACTAGTTAAAACTGGCAGCACTCAAAGAAAGTGTCCTTGATTACTAAAAAAAAAGATGGGTGATATGCACACAGGTAAAAGAAGATGTATGTGACTCACACGTATACATCATGTACAGTATCTGTTTTCCCACTCCATACCTTCCTTACTCTTCTGTCTTACCCTAATTGTGAACATTTCAGTGCCTCCAGTTCGCTAGCACTGAAACATCACTAACAGCTAAAAAAAAGAAGAGCAAGAAGGAATACATCATTCATTACACAAATCCTTCAGCATATCATGCCCATATAAGTCTGGAGTAACAAAGGATATCTTACCAGATGTAAGGGGCCTCAAGTGTGACCCCTGATATCATCTAAGGGCTGCACATAATGCTTGATATATGTAATGCTAAAGAAAACACCAAAGCCTAGACAAACTATAAACAGGTGGTCAGAGACTGTAAGCATGCTATAGAAGATGGTCAAAGATTGCAGACATACCAACAGGCATGGTTGGAGATTGTTAGAGACTAGTTCCCTAAAAAAAATACTGGACACCACATTTAATATGAATTCTTCTTAGGAAGATCCATGAGAAAGGACAGAGCAAAAAATTAAAAAAAATAACAGACAACAGAAAAAGTAAAAACACTGTGAATGAAATAAATAATTTAGCAAGTAGAAGCCAGTTTATGAATACTTTTCTCCACTGTCCGAGTATATACTCAGGTCATGAAAATAATGATTACTGCCTGCTGGGGCTCGAGGGTCGCACAGTAAGTTCTAAAGGGCCATATGTGGGCTTCAGGCTACGGGTTATTTGAAGTGATAACAGCATTAAGCTGCTCCCCTTGACATCTCCTTTTCTTATATGAATAAGGTCCTCCTACAAGTACTTCATGTTTATAAAGGCCTATGCATTCATTGGTAAGGGGGTTTACAATTTTAAATAATAATGTGAATAACAATTGACAAGAATGGTGTGTGGGCCTTTAATTTCCTATGGACTATATGCCGCAGCTTGGCCCCAACCAGCCCTGCATGTCTGGGAAAATCTGCTTTCCAAGAGATTGAAATGAATGTAAACACAGTAGGGGGAATTTATCAAAACTGGAGCAGAGAACCCGGAGCAGTTGTCCATGGCAACCAATCAGCATCTCTCCTCAGTTTGCTCAGGTAAGATTTGAAAATGAGACAGAGAAGCTGATTGGCTGCAGTGCAAATCTGCTCCAGGTTTTGATAAATTCCCCCCAGTAAGTATGCTTGTACATTACCTATTTATATTACCTATTTCAGTAAATGTATATTACCTTCTACTTTTTCTAGTTTGGCAAGAGTCAGTCCAATTGCATTGGGTCTATGAGGACTTCTGGTGGAGAACACCCCAGTTTTTGCTCCATTTAGTCTTGGTGGTTGAACTTTTGCTTTGCAGCTTAAACGTCCATTTTTGTGGAAAATAAATAAAATCCTGCAAGTGAAATGATAATGTAAAGCACAAATGTAGAGCAACATATTGAAAAACATAAGAATATCCAAAATAGTTGATCTCCTTCCACTGTACATTGTGAACACCCATTTCTTTTTGTATCATATCTAGAAGAGTAAACACTGAAAACAGATGCTGCCAGCAGCACACTCAAAGCAGACCTTTACAGTAAAAAATCAAATTCTACAAATCCCTCTGTGTGTGGTGATTAATAATAACATAGACATGTCAGGTGTAAAATGCTGTGATGTTAAAGTACTTACAAATGCAGAGCATCCACTTCCTGCTCTGAAAGTGCAAATTACTTTAGTTTGCAAAAACAATGCACACTGGGATTTCCTTGTCACCAGCAGAACATTACTGGGAAATCTCATCTGTATTCTCAGGGATAGGCATTTTGCTCCCCTGAGATGATGTGCATGGTCACATGTGCCAGAAATCCAGGAAGTAAAGAGAGATCTTGACCCCTGCCCTTGGTAAACATGGCCACTGTCAGAAGACTGGGGAAGAAAAGAGAAATAAGATATGCAAAGAATACAAAGCCGGCAATTATCTAGAAGTTTGTAGATTGTCATTACTAAACATTTCCAAAAGGTGTGTTGTTATTTTAAAGATATGGGTAAAAGTCAGCTTCAATGCTTCCTCTTTCTACATATTATACTTACTAACAAAGCTTCCCAGACTTTCTTCATCACAAAAATGACACAATTTGTCACTATAGCCAAAACATTTTGTATATTGGTTAAAAATAGTTAGATTTATATTTGTTGTGTCTGTGTTGGGGAGATTTTCCTTCTCTTTCTGTCCCAAAGACACAACTGGAAATTGGAGGAAACTTCTACAAAGTGACAGAATATTGGACAAATTCCCCTCAGCTCCTGTTATGGTAAAAACTTTAAAATGCTGAGTTCCCATCACTTTCTTTCCTAGTGATAAACAGACAGGATGAAACTACCCAGCAGGGGCAGGACCAGCAACATAAACGTGGTGCTAACCCTTCCACAATCTATATCAAAAGCAAAGATTTCGGCTTCAGATGCACGCAGGTGAACATGAAGTCATATAAGGTATGGTAAAGTGATGCTTCTATGTAAATCAGATCCAAAATAGTGAAGGCATCCTACTGTGTGCCTCATATTCAAGAACACTTTGGTATGCCAAATTCAACTAGCTCCCTTGGTCCAGAAAGTGGCCCCTCATCTTTCTGCACATCACTACTGGCCTCTCCCTGTGATAGGTGGCCTCGCTAGTCCATAGTGAAGTGCAGGAGGGTGTTCTTGGGGCAATCAATATTAAAAGTAACCTAATGTACTCAGTGGTACCTGCTATTACATATAAATGTCAAAGGATCATTATTTCTATGACTTTATATATCCTACAAACTCTGGCAATCAGATGTATCTGAGAAAGCCTCTGTTCCCCTCTGTGGTGGGTGACCCAGCACATGCAGCACAGGTCCGCAGGCAATATACTTCAGTCAACTAAGCATAATACTTTGTAGCTCTGGCTCAACAAAGTGCCTTTCAGTGTTAGCCATCAAAGCATGTGACAACTGTGATAAGCAAATGAAGGCAGCTTTAAATACACATAATCCATATATGTAATTTCTGTCTAAGCACAAGGCACTAAATCGCATCTCTTGCACATATTTATTTGGCTATATGAATGAACCTATACCACGTGAGAAAATGCTTGTTGAGCATTGTTTGTGTGACTTTTATTTAGCCATATTTACTTCATTTTCAGTTTTTTAAATGTTCTTAAATAAATCAATATCGTCTGTTTTAGGAATTAAAAGTTATGCTAAGAATGAAATGTATTTTAAATGGCCAATGATGTAGCTCAAAGGGTTTGCAGCCTTTTCTTAATGACAAAAAAACTCACTTATCATCTTGTCCCAGTAAATATAACTGTACACGAGTAAGCCCAGGGTTGGCAGAATGGCTTCAGTATATAAATACAGTCTGCGTTCACTTTGATGTAGGACATTTTCCGTTTGGTCAATTTTGAATTTAAATGTATTGAAACTACCAAACTGTTTGGTTTCAAACTATTTGCAGACCGAACTGGGGAGTGCAAAATACAAATGAAGACAGGTTACCAAACACTCATTTTGGTGCTCATGTAATAAACTTAGAGTTAACCTAGAAACATATTTATTTTTTTATGTTAAGGGAATGCATGCCAATAATGCGTAAATGTAGGATTAACAGGTACTGATAACCTCACAGAGATCTCAGTATTCCTGAGTAAGCTTCATTGACAACAACTAGGGAAAACCCCAAAAATTAGATGCCAGCTGGAATTTTTAAGGAGCATTGGCTACCTGGCTCCTGGGATTTGTCCAGCCCTGCTTTAGAATATTCATTACTGTGTGTGACACCAGTGACATGGGTATACATTGAACTAAATGTTTATTTGTAAAATTAAACATTTTTGTTGACATAAAAAAAAATTTAAACTGTCAGTTTAAAAATTGTTAAACTTAAAAAAGCAAAGCCATAACCCTTAGGGCATTCAATAGCTGTAAACATAGTTACAGTACAGCTAAACCCATTCAAAATAATATATATATATATTATTTCACCTTTCGAATCCATATATGTGGTGGCATATTGCAGATTAGTATATATATAAAACGGTCAGAAAGGGAGCAAAAAGGGAGAAGTTCAATGTTAGAGTTTACATCCACTATAGGGCAACAAATGGCATTTTCAAATCCCTAATAGCTGTGGATTACCACAACAATGTACAATGACTCTCCACTACCTTGGAAAATGTACAATTTAGGTTTAATTTCTATAGCTAAGGGCCAGTTCACACCAAAAGCGGAGCAGGTGCAGAGCAGTTACAGACCGGATCAAAACTGCATCCAATGGTATTTTGGGCTCTAGTTCACACCGCAACGTTCAGTTCCAGAGCATGAAAAAAAACTGCAGCAAGCCCTATTTTACCTGCTCTGGAACGGCCTGGAAGGCATCCAAAACGCGGCAAAACACACTGCACTGCGTGTGCAGAAACTCATGCAGATCTGGTCTGCATTTGGTGTGAACAAGCCCTAATGCAGTATGATAGGAGACAAATAATAAAACAGCAACAATAAGACAATAGAGTTTTTTTCTCTGAAGCTGCACTAAACAGTGTAAAGCCAGTGCAATTAGGCAACTTCTAGAAAAGAACTGACAACTCCCTTCAATAATTCTAAAAAGCTAAAAGGAAATGTTTTTTGCCTTTTTAAATATGAAACACAAATGTATAAGCGCATGTCAATTCATTTCTAAACAGGACTTTGATTCTGAAAACTCACCATACATGAGAGAATTGTTGTAGATCCATCACAGAATGCTCAGGGTTATTGAAAACACTCTTGCTTATCTTTAAGCATCCCCGAGACAAGCTGCAAACAGAAGGTTGCCTGGGTGTGCCATTTTTTTCTGCGAAGCAGGATTCAATGTATCCAATTGGTTTGGTTAACAGATGTCCTGTAAAAATATTTTTTAGAGAAGATTTTTTTAAAAGTAGCATTGAATTATTTTCCTGTCTTTGTGAAAATACATCACAATACGGAACCAGTCATTTCTTGAACACTTGCTATTTTTAAGCACTTTCACAAAATAGTTGATCTATTATAGCCCAACTGGTGTCTTACACCTTTTTTATTTCTTTGTACTCCTGTAGCCTCTATTGATAGGATGCACAATTGTCTTTTACTTGGAAATACCTTGAAATACCTTTTTCTTTTAGTGAAAATCCTGCTCCTTTCCCACACGCTGCAGTGCTCTGTGCTGGCATAGCTGAGAAACAGCCTCACCCCCCCA